GTTCTGTTCTTAAGCCTTCGCGTGAATGGTAGATTTGTTTGAGGGTCTGGCCCCAAGTCAACTTTACTTTCATTTAATTTAATTTTCATTGTTGTTTATTATTTTCCTTGATGTTACTAGCGTGTTTATTGTTTTTACTTGCAAGCAAATGCAATCAAAGTAAGGAATCATGTTCCTTTTGTTCCTATAATATTTCTAACAATTTTTATTATGTTTGTCGTATATTAATTGTTAGATTTATTATGGTTAAATTGCTTCCAATGTTATTATTATTCTATTATATTGAATGATCGACATATTGCATGTTAAAGGGAATATGTAATTGAATATAACGCTTCATAAGATAATTTGGAAGACCGGTTAGGATCCTTTTTAATCTTGTTAATTGAAGTGATCATGATATTTAGAATTATGTGTTGCATTAACATTCAACCAATTTATCCTAATCTAGTTTGGAGCAAATTGAATCTTAGATTGTATGCCTTTGAGATCGCATAATACTTTTCACAATAAGAATCGAGTAGAGGCCAATACGGGCGAATGTGACTCCATGACTCACTTCGTATCATCATCCCCGAACCGCTTTTCGTGGTTCCGAAACATATGGAGTTAGTAATCTCATGGATTATGAATGGGGTGTAACCCTCACGGGTCAATCGTTGTTGCCTATCGTTGTCCCTTATTCGTGGTTACCTTAAATGATCCGTGAACGGTTTACAAGTTCCTTAAAAACTTGTTGGCGGCTCCCTACTTTCCTTGTCCTTAATCGTATAATGTCAATTCCCACTGCCAAGCATATTCACACATGCTTAGGTAGGCGCACTTCGAATGACCCTTATAATAACGTGGGAGTAAGAAATTCTCATTGATATTGCAAGGAGCATTCAAATCTTAAAGTCTCCTTCCTTCAATCTTTCATATTCCAAACTTTAACAAGTTTTTCTCACTTTCCCTCCCTAAAAAATGAGAGTTTCTCTCTCTAAAACCCTAACCTAAGCTAAAACTACAGAAAATTTCTCCCCCCTTTAAAATTAAGCTAAGGAGTCTATTTATATCACCCTTAAATTACATAGAAAGCTCCGTCAAAAAATCGCTGAAAAGCAGAGACGCGGCTTCTCCTAGTGACTAGAGAGGCCGCGCCACCTTAAAATAAGTGACGAGTAGAATGTTCAGCAGTGGAGAGGCGTGACCTCTCCAAAGGAAAGTTGCGCCCTCTCCAAAGGAAAGTCGCGCCCTCTCCAAAAGAGAGGCATGGCCGCGCCTAGCGCGTCAACAATTTAGCAGTATCTTCAAACTGTCATAACATCTTCATTACTTGTCGAAAAAAGGCATCTGACAACTTGTTGGAAAGCTCTTAAGCTGGACTTTAATCTCCAACTTGAATCACCTCTAAATGTTAAGTAGAAAAAAAGTATTGCCTGTTGAAGTTGACCTTTGCGTAAAAATCCTTCCTAAACTCTTCCAAATGCTCTTATTTCACTCCAAGACATTCTTTCATGTTTTTTTCGTAGCTCCATCAACCGGTTCTTGCCTATTTCCTTGTCCTTACGTCTTTAATGAATTCATAGACTTCATGGGTGCCAAAAGGTCCTAATTAAAATGCATCAAATACACAAATAAAACCCGTGAAGCATGGGGGACACAAAAATTGCATAAAATTTTAGTTATTAATGAACTATGATGCCGATTTATCACGAAAATAAGGTTCAAAACTACCCTAAAATCATACCAAATAACAAGTTATCACTGAGTCGGATCACGGTGCGCGGCTTTTTTTTTTTATATACAATATAAATCTTCATGTCGCTGACCATTAATAATGCCATCACAAGTAAATTAAGGCAACAACAAAAAGAAAAAAAAAAATCATAATTAAACTTTAATTCAAATTGAAAACATAACAAATAAAATTGTCAATGTTTGATTAATTATCCATTATCTTAATGTACTACTAAACTTAATAATTAAAGAGCTCTCAAAATTCAAATCAAAAAGTAGCGTTCATAAATACATTACTATATAACAAATAATTTATAATTGTAACAAAATTATTGGACAAGCAAAAGTAGTTTGTTTAATGGTTAACCACTTAAGCTGACAACACCCCCTCCCCCCCACCCCCCAAAAAGAAAACATTAAGAGAGGAAGAAAGAGAATTTTGTGTTTGTGGTTGGATACCAAATTACTTCAATGAAGAATTGTTGTCAACCATAACAAAAGGTTCAAAGAAATAACAAAGGCTTTGCAGTTGTTAATAACCATCGGCATTGACGTCGTGAGCAATGGTTTATATGGGCCTTAAAGATACCACTTTACTATGGATCACTGGAGAACTAATGAAAGTCAAAGAGAGTAAGGTTTGTATGTGTGATTTGTAGGAGAAAGGGGAGTGCGACAACCCTACTTGGTTGCTTACACGGATCAAGAAGAGATTAAAGAGTAGTGAGAGAGATAAGCGTATAGATAGAAAAAAAAAACACTAAGTGGCTTTTGAGTTTTGACTAAGTAGCAATAACCCACTATAAGGCTTTTAACCCAATTCAACAGGCAAAATGCCAAAAAGACGTCCAAAACTACAAGGAACATAAAAAAAAAATGAATTAGTAGTCAGGTACTCGATTTAGCTGCCATGTGGCCCATGACTTGCGTAGTTTAGCGGCCGGGTTAGGTATCCGACACGGAAAATTGAAAAAAATTCTCCAATACCTGTTGGGCATTTTGCAGGTTGTCAAACCGTCGGGCCGGATCATCATGCAGGTTAGTTTTTTTGAACAACTCTAGTTGGAAGCATACGATAGCCAATATAATGAACTTTAAAAGAACATTCCTACTAATATCTTAAACAATAATTATTGTGTGGGAAATTTTGCCAGAAACCTTATAAAATACCTTTTTTTTTTTTATTTTTGGAAACCACCGTATAATTTTTGTCAGATTATGACATTTAAACTTGTCTTCTAGCGTTGATATTCTCAAATGGAGGTCACTTGATCTCTCAAAACCACCCTTTTAATTTTTCCCCTTTTTACGCCTTTCTTCACTACACCACCATCGCCATCGTAAACTCACTCGACATCTCCAACCCATCATGTAAAATCCTTAAAAATCAACATTGGAATCATCACTTTGATAAAAAATAGTTACTTTAATTGAAAAATTTATAAAACCCTTATTCATATCTCTCATAAAATCATCGCCTTTTTAAAGAAAGCTCATAACAATAATAGTAACAAGAACTATAGATTTCCCGGTGGTTGTGCTAGCTGGTGGCACTATATATATAATTTTTTTCCATCATTTTAATATAGAAAAAAAGTCATTTTTTTATCATGTGTTTCTTTTTTTCTTTATGATCTTAATAAAATATTTTTTACAAATTTTCACTTATCTTATTAAAAAAAAAAAAAAAAAAAAAACAGCTAAGTAAAATTATCATTTTTTTTACATATATTTTTTCTATTTTTAATATAATAATTGCACCCCTAAGTATTAGGCTTTGAACGTATTATTAATCAATTTAATTTGACGAGTAAGAGAATTGATCATGATGTTTTATTTTTATAACTTGGTACATGAGACGTTATTGTATCTGCATAGAGTTGACGTTGAATTTTTTTATTTAGTATATATATAATATATATTTTTTACTAACTCTAATTCTATATATGTTATCATGTAGTAAAAAAATTCTGTAAATTGTATGTAGTTGGATTTTACATTAGTTTATTTGTTCAAATTAATAGAAATAAGTCATTTCCTACATACAAGTGCATACATAAAATATATACAAGTAAATCTTAAGGCCTCAATCTATTAGTTCGCCCTTGGGCCTCCAAAATCTCGAAAACTGCCATGGTGGAGAGAAAGGCGATAAAGGGGAAAATGGGGGAAATTAAAGGAGGGTGGTTTTAAGAGCACATGCCCCTTGCGTGACCAAGTCAACGCCAGAATACAAGATCAATGGTCAGAATATGAGATAAGGTGTGTTTTGCAGAATAAAAAATTAATAATAAGGTGTAAAAAAAAAAAAAGTGATTTATAAAGAGGTTTCTGGCAAATTTTCCTATTGTGTGAGCTATCGTTAGATTTTTTTTATACATGTCTATCATTAATTTGTCAAATTCTTTAAAATTAATATAACACTAAGCTACAACATATAAGATGATTTTTACATTATAAAAAATAACTCAATATTATGGGTCTAAGTTAGTTCCTAAATTGCAAAAGTGTATGATTTTGTAATGATAATTTTTTTTTTTTTAAAACTTTGTGACGCAAGCAAAAGGAATGTTTTTATCTTCTTAGGTATAATTTAATGCCATGAGTCCGTTAGTATTTTCCTCCCTTTTCTCTCAACCCAACATTTAGTGTTTTTTTTAACACGATCTCTCTCCTAAAAATCATATGTTTAGATGTTGCAAAATTTTCTCCAAGGCTTTGAAAATTTAGAATGTAGTATGTGGCTACCAATGTAGACAGTATATTTCTCTCTCCATCTCTCTTCTTTTCTCCCTCTCCAAAAACAATGGACCAAACATTAGATAAAAAAAATTAGGAGGGTAAAAAATTAGGAGGGTAAAACTTGAAAGAAACAATTTTATTCAGGTTACAATCATTTAACATTTAGTGATAGAGAAGAGAAGAAAGAAGTCTTATTTTCTTTTTGGTTGTGATATTTGAGCTAATAGTTAATAAGTATACTTTTGTTCATCTTCCAACAACACTTCCATTTCTCTTAAAATTTTCCAATGTTTTTTATTTTATTTTTTTTCTCTATTCTTTTTATATTGACCAGTATCTAAATTTAAAATTTAAATATACCTTTGTACTATTACATTCGATTCCATAAAGGAACATGATCCCATTTGTTTACATTGTAAATACTATACCTTATATCTACCTACTTCTAGATATATTTCGTTTATTTAACTTTGTAGTTTTAAGAAGGATTAATTAATTTCAAAGTTATTTTAATTTCAAATTCTTCTGCATTTCTAAAAACCATGTATGACTTTGAATTTATCCACTTTTCAATTTTTTGAGTCCCATACCTTTTTTTCTCAAGTAAGAAAAACAAATAGAAGATATAATTCAAAAACAAAAAGAAGAAATAATTATTGAAATAATCTAATAGGAGGCTCAAATATATCAAAGTTCCATTTGTTTGAAAATGGAAATTATGTGTATGCATCTTGAAGCTTGAATAGCAAAAAAAAAAAGAAATATGAATCATATTATTTTTGTTGGGATAAACGATGAGTACGATCAAGTTAACATCTTTTAAAGTTGGAAAAGTCTAAAAAAATGGTCAAGAGGTGGAACTCATATGAAATTCAACTATCTTGCATTATGGTATTAGCAATTCTTGCAAAGATTCAAAAGTCTGAATCCCTTAATGTTGAAGGTATTAATCTTCATTCACTCTTATTTAATGAAATAATTTTTTTAACCTTTGATTGATTGTGTCATTGGTTTTAAATGACATGCCTACAAATTCTAATTGCTCTGTTTTTGTAGGTTTAGCATTGCTCGAGTTTAGAGAAAGAATAGAAAATGATCCTCACCAAGCTTTTGCAAATTGGAATCCAAACCATTCTGAACCATGTGTGTGGCTGGGTGTCCAATGTCTAAATGGAAAAGTGAAAATGTTGTAAGTGTGTATGTGGTTTAACTTTTATGATTCTTTTTATGTTACATATTTTCTTAAAAGTTTTCCATGTTGTACTAAATATATTACTTTTTTTTTCTTTTTTTTTTTCTAATTCATAATACTCCTTTCGTTATTTTAAAAAGCTAGAGATGAAATTGCGCGAAGTTTTAGGACGGTTTAATAAAGTTAGATATTAGTGGGGTAGATAGGTAATAATAAATTGTACGAAAATATAGTATATTTATTAATTTATTAAAAAGTAAAGTGGTGTGAGGAGGAGTGGGGACTATTGGAAGAGTGAGAAATGATAAAGTACAGGGGATAAGAGACCATTAGTGGATAAAGATATATTATTAAAGTGTAAGGGATTCCCAAAAAAGGAATTATAGCTTTTAAAAAAAATGGACGAAAATATCAAGTGTAACTTTTTTAAAAAAGGATGAAAATATCAAGTGTAGCTTTAAAAAAAACGGATGGAGTATATTTTATCTGATATTAACTTGGCTTTTTTTTTTTCCTCTACTTTTAAGAGATCTTAGTGGGCTTTCATTACAAGGAACATTGGCACCAACATTAAAAAAGCTAAGATATATGCGATCCTTGTAAGTTATCTTCTTTAACATATACATGCACTTGTGTAGTTGCATGATTATTTAACTCTATATTTGTAGCCTACTACAATGGTCGGATATCACAACATAGTTGCTGCCTTACTTTTTGGAGTAGGCTCAATTCTCAACCTTTGTTGGCTTTAACAGAGTGATGAGCAACAACCGTTTGTCAGGTTCTATTCCTAGAGAGATTGGAGAACTTAAATTACTTGAAGTTTTGGATTTGAAGCATAATAATTTTAGTGGAAAGATTCCTCTAGAGATAGGTGGGATGTCATCGTTAAAATGCATGTGAGTTCTTACTGTTTTTGAAAAATGTTTCATGCAATCAAGGTATAAGGGTATCAAGTTGAGTTGAGCTTTCTTATTATTTTAGGTCCCTTTGTGGTAACGATTTGCTTAGAGATAACCCGCCTACAATTGGAGTACTTGATTATCTTCTTGAATCAGGTTGTAATCAACAAGTCAGTTCAAATGGTTCCAGATTTGAACATTACATTAAAAGGAATATACGTTGGTGAGATTCTTTTCATTAGTTTGTTATAAAAAAGTACAATTTTATTGATTAATCAATTGTGTACCAAATATATTAACGACCAATTAAAAAATACGAAAAATTGATTAGTTTAACATGCAATTAAACAAATATGAAAGTATGAAAGATTAAAGTAATTTAATCATTAATTTTTAAATGATAACATGACCTTAAGCATGGTAATATATAATCTCATAATTTTATTTTTTTTTGTAAGAAAAAAAAAAAAAAAATCATCCATCCCTACTAAGTTTTAAGGATCAAACTAAATCCTAATAATTATGGTATGGAAAAATTCCTAACTTATATGCTCCTACAAAAATCATCTAGGAATCACCTTGCAATTATTTGACACATAAATATTATTTGTTTGTTTTCGTGCAACTTACCGCCTTTGTAGTAATTTAAAGTAGCTTCTACACGCAGATTCAATTAAAATAAAATCTAAAATCTCATACCCACCTCATCCTATAAGATTACCAATACACGCCATTAATGAAATGTAGAAACCGTTCCAACAAATGAACCATACAACTTCAAACTATTATGAGATTTGGAATCATAGTTTTCTAGTATGAGATCTCTTTTTTCCATTCCATTCCAGTTTAACGTATCTAGAGTAACTTTTTAGTCCACTGCACATACCTCATATGAAACATAATCAATCTTAGATCCCTGTAAATTATTTGGTAGTAATAAAAGGATATACAAGAAGGAAAACCCTAAAATTAAAATGTCGTAGATAGATAACTGTGTCAATATGAGAGGTGTGTCAAACCACATTTATTCCTACCACTCCTACTATCATAAAAAAAAAATGTTCAAAAAATGATCTAACTTAATGAAATAATTTAATTGGTGGTATCTTCTCTTAAAAATGAAGAATATTTTGATGATATAATTGAAACATATAATCCATATTAGTTATTTACCTTAACCAAAACATGCATGATATCAATATGATGAACTTGTTTGCTACTTATATATTTTTTATGCTATAGTTCAAGAAATCATTTTCTTAAGAATAATCTTAGATTACATAGGGATTAACGTCTTTCATTGTCAGTTTTCATATTAATTTAATCTCAAAAAGTAGTATTATGTATTTATTGTGAAATAGGAACTTAATTCATTTTGGTAATAAATGCAAATGTCTACTTCGAATTTGTAATTTACATGAAAAGCTATCAATATAAAATCTCATGATAAGCATTAATATCAATATCTTGGTCGCATGTGTCTCGTCCTTCTTTTTTACTAAAAATTGATTCCAATTCTATTGGGCAGTAATTGGTGGCGCATTTTGAATCAATTAAGGACCTACTTTTACATTAGCTCTATGTAAGTATGATTACAATCACAAGATATAATTTATTTCAAAGAGATGACAAATTTGTGTTTATAAGAGTTATATTGGTACAATTTTCTTACGTTTTACTTTCTTTATAGGTTGGAGACTAAAAATAGAAAGTGTTGTTTCTATGATAAAGGAAACAATTGTTGCGGCAATGTATCAAGTTCGTAGAAGTTCAATGTAATTGATATTTTTTTATTTTATTTTTTATGCTATCATCTAATACTTTCTACATTTCATTAGGTGCAATTGAAGATAGTTATCGTCGTCATCTGGCTGAACAATCAAGTAATCTTGTTGTTGTACCAACAAAGGTTATCAAGGTCCAACAAAAGGAATCCCCTATTATTGTTTTAAGTACCGGAGCTTATCCTGTTCATTTAAAAAAAACTACAATATTAGCCCAATCTTCTTCTTCTTCTTCTTCTTCTTCTACTTCTAACACCTCACATGAGCATTTTAAACCAAACATATTTTTTCTTATGACTACTTTAATTATCTTAGTTGTAAGCGTAGTAGCAGCTCTTAGTTTTTGTTTTGCCTTAATAGCCATAAAACGCTATAGTAGTGCTAAGGTTGTACAAGCGCAAAATGCATCTTTACTTCATCGGTTGAGCAAGGTCTTTGTAACAGGTTAGAATGTTATTGCTAATTATATTTCTACTATTTTGTTCAGTGATCAAATATGAATCTAGTTAAATTTGGAGTACAGGAGTTCCGGCATTAAACTCATCTGAGTTACAAACAGCTTGTGAAGATTTCAGTAATATAATTGATACTTTCTCGGGATGCTTAATGTATAAGGGAATACTTTCAACTGGGGTAGAGATTGCTGTTTTGTCAACTTCAATTAGGTCATCACAGCAATGGTCCAATTTTGCAGAAAGGGAGTTTAAAAGAAAGGTCTTAAAATTTTCTTCTTATTATCTTTTTCTCATTATGTTAATTATTGTTGAGACTAGTTGACTTTCTTGGTCATTATAATGATTATTATCTAAATTATTATTTGACATTGTTATAGATATGTTATTGATTTTAATTAGAGCCTTTTTGTTTTAGGGTAATGCTATATGTAGTCCTAAGGGTTACATATAAGCATTAAATATGCTGTTGAAAATTGTATAAAATTAGGAATTCATGACAAAAACACGTGCAAATCAGTGTGATTAGTGTTTATATTTTTATAATTTCCTAAATTTATACGATTTTATAGTGTAAATTTAATGCTTATATGTAGCCCTAAGGGCTATGTATAACGTTTTCTTTTTTTTAATATGTTGATAAATGTAGAGGTGCATACAATATAATACTCTCTTTTTCTTTGATGACACTGCCCTTATTTATTGAATACAATTCACTTTCTTATCGTAAATGAAATGCTCATTATTTAGAATTAATTCTATCACTTCACTTTAGACCAACTAGCCACTAAATATAGCAAAATATTTCTTAATTCCAACTATATATAATAAATAAGACCTCATTATCCATTAATTATAGTTTATAATACCTTGTAATTATAATGAAGAAAATACTTAACTACCAACTACGATGTATTACACAATAAAATAAAACATCAATTACATTGCCTAAATATTTCTTCTACTCTGTCAATTAAATGGGAACAAAGGGAGTATTACACGGTTTTGATTAAGTGTAATTTAATGATAATTAATTTAGTAAAAGATTTGCATGTCCCAATCTAATTAATATGTTCACATTTGTAGTCAAGGAAATCCTTAAAACCAATAAGCTTGCATATTCTAAAAGTACTCTCTTGACATAAGATAGACATTCGATGTGACCAACCTATAACTTTTGCGCACGATGTATGAGTTTCTTAGTTTGACGATGACAATACAACACATACTCATCATTATGAGTTAGTAATTTGGGATGGTTGTATAAAATAACAGTACATGTTGTGGTTAAAAACTAAGGTTAGAATTGCCTCAAAGAAAAAAAAAATAATAAATAAAAAAATAAAAATTCAATATGATGTGTACATAACATGGGATGTCCTTGCAAGAATTATACAGTATCCAGTGTATGATTTTAAGACAAAATTATTATTCCTATTCACTTTTTTTTAGCTATTACCAAAAATATTTGTAGAATTGTTTTAGAAATTAATTTTTATAATAAATAATTTGAATCTTTGTTTTAGGTATAAGGTGACTACTAGAAAATTCCTTTTATTGCATGTAAGATTCATCATTTTGTTTTATGAAAAGCACACTAATAGTTTTATTTTAATTTCATTAATCAAAGTGCTTGTCTTGCTCTAATTTCCATACGATTTTATAATTTATGTCCGCAGATGGATACTTTTTCAAAGATAAACCATAAGAACTTTATAAACCTTCTTGGCCATTGTGAGGAAGATAACCCATTTGTGAGGATGATGGTATTTGAATATGCTCCAAATGGGAACCTTTATGAGCATTTACATGGTAATAGATTGTAAATGTAATTTTCATTGTTAAGTAAAGTCTTTGATAGTGATCTAATTTAATTCATTCTTTGCTCCTTTTATTCCTTCCTAGTTAAGGATATAGATCATCTAGATTGGACAACTAGAATGAGGATTATCATGGGAACTTGCTATTGTCTTGAGTACATGCATCATGAGCTTAATCCTCCCGTCGTCCATCCAAATCTCCAGTCAGATACGATCCTTCTAACGGACGATTATGCTGCAAAGGTTAGTAATTATTTACATGAATTTTATCATTTTTTTGAAAGATGGTTGGGTATATACTTCCTTAAGTCTAAAATAATTGGAACACTTCGATCTATTGTTAAGAAGTTTCTAAATTATTACAACATTGTTTCATTTAGCTAATTCATTCATCTAGTGTATAAGCCTGATTTTTTATTTTATTTTTAAAAAAAAAAATAAAAAAAAAATTGTAAATTAGGGGTAGTTTTTTTAATTTCAGCTAATAAATGGGGGTAGTACCATCATTTCATTTAATAAATGGAGTTAGTTTTGTCATCTAATCTTTTTTTTTTTTGTTAAAAATAACCACGAAAAGGTGTCTGCCTTATAAACTCAAATTTTAATTTCTCTTAAAGAAATTTGCACCCCTTTATGTTGAAATGTATTTGGTACAAAGGAAGTATCAATCGAACAAACCAAATTCGTGACACTTGCTCATATTATGCTATTATAAACCATATTCAATTGAATTAATAATCATATTTTTCAAAAATATTATTAAGGTCGCAGATGTTTCATTTTGGGCTGATATTGTATCCAAAGCAAAGATTTCAGATGATGAAGAATTAGAACCTTTACATTCAAATCCAGGTCCCACTTGCGAAGATAATGTATACAGTTTGGGGATATTGTTGCTTGAAATAATCTCAACCAAGTCACTTAATGCACAGGTTAAGTCTCTAATTAAGTGTCATCTTTTTACAGAAGTATCCATATTTTAACTATTGTGTTGTTTTTTTATTACTTTAATTATAACTAATAGCTCAAAAAAAAAAAAAAAAAAACAAAAAAAAACAAAAAAAACTACTAAAACTGTAACATCTTTAAATATTGTTGATGATTAATTAATAGTTAATAATGAATTTGTGTATAGGTGTGTCATGTTTAATTAGTTGTCTACGCTTATTAAACACTAAAAACGGGATTGAGGGTTGTGGCACTCTTTTTCCAATTTTGGATATTGTAAAACTTACATGAAATAAGGTTGTTTTGTTTACATTAGCACACTAAAAACGGGATTGAGGGTTGTGGCACTCTTCGTTTGTTGAGACTGTTAGAAAAAATAATTTCTTGGTTTTTCTGATTGCATCATTTGTGATTTCACGCTTGTCAATGTAAACCATTAATATATATAATTATACTTTAGTAAAATTATAAAATATTGATATTTAAAAAGTAATAGATTTCGAGACAAATCCAACTAAATCCCACATGACTATATATTTTCTTACGCATAAATCACAAAAGACTGTTAAAGATTGTATGATATATAATAATGTAAAAGTCCAAATTGTGCAATAAAAAAAAGAGGAATCATAATAATATTTGTGTGTATTGATCTATGATGCAACCAGGGTAAAGAAATAACATCGATAGAATGTTAAGAACATGATGATGTCTTTTTATTGCAATTTCTTTGAGCTACTTGTCATTTCAATGATGTTTTTTTTTAAAAAAAATTATTATCTATATTTTACATACTTTCAGGCTATAGAGTACTTGAAAGATAAGAAGAAATATTGCAATTTGGTTGATCCTAGTTTGAAGTCCTTTAAGAATAACGAGCTAGAAATCATTTGTGAGGTCATTCACGAGTGTCTAAATGAAGATCCAAGGCGAAGACCAACACTTAAAGATGTAACCTCCAAGCTACAAGCAGTAATTAAAATTACTCCTGAGGCTGCTAGTGCTAGACATTCACCCTTATGGTGGGCAGAGCTTGAAATTCTCTCTATAGAATCTGGTTAAGAGGCTCTGCACACTTTCTAGCATGTATATTAGAAGAATTTCAGAGGATTAAGGAGTACAGGGATGGTTAGTCCCTCCATCTCCCCCGGTGTGACCAGGGTTCGATCCTCACCCCACCCCTCCTAACACTCCCGTATCTTACCATATAAAAAAAAAATTAGAAGAATTTCGTCAAGTGGGTGTTGTATATTTGTGTTGATAAATAAATTTTATTTGATCAATATTTGTGTTTAATAGTATTTTAATCCTTATTACCCAGTAACTATCTCATTTATAGATGGCACATATTTCAATAACAATGGGGTAAGGATATCATTTACATTTACAAATATCCATTTTATTATTAGCCCCACGTGTAATACTCTTAATAAGGTGCGTCTTATTTTAAAAAGTTTATATGCTACTTAAGTTTACTTGGTTAAGAGTATTTGGGTGAATGACATTCTAGGTATTTTCTCAAGGTGTACATGAGATATCGATGAAAAAAAAATACGTCGAAAGTACTTGTGTTGGTATGTGAGGACAATTTTAAATGTCCTACGATAGTTTGTGAGAATAAGATTTGTTTAGGGTAAAAATACCCTCGACACGTGGCCTAACCAACGAGTGACATGTGGCACAATATATGGGCGACACGTGTCCCAATAGGATGCTGACACGTGTCAAAACATGGGAGCACCTGAATGAGAGAAAAGCATCCTTACATCAGGAGGCCCAACTCCCTAGAATAGCACTAAAACGACACCCCCAAAGGACACGTGTCCTCTCCTGATTGCGCCGCCAATCAGAGCACGCCGTTTTAGGTCATCAAATCCTAGATGACACACATTCCCACCTATATAAATATCCCAATCATTTATGATGGGAGGGGTGGATAAGGACATATCATTCAAGAGTATTAAATTGCTCCAACTCCTCTCTACTTTCTCTCTCTACATTACCTTGTTTTCCAGTCACTAACTTGATCGTCGGAAGCGAATATTCCATCAAACGGAATATTCGTTGTTTTACAAGAGTCCAATACCGTCCGGCTATATTCAAGACCTGTATCCCAAGGGATTCCAAAAATCCCCAAAACATTTGGCGCCGTCTATGAGGATACAATCTGAAATGGCTAAAGATGGTCAAACACCCGATCCTGGTCAGGACGGCTATGTAGAAAACATAATCGCCACAATCAACACAAGTGATCCTCTAACTGCTTCATTCCATGAGGCCAAGGACCCCCCAGTAACGGTCAGCTCCTTACAGGCCGCCTTGAACAAGCTCCGAAAAGAGCTTGAGGGTAAGATACCTTCTTCTTCTAGACATCCTTCCAGAATAATAGAAGAGGGCATCAGGAAAAACCCCAAAACAAGACGGCCAACACTGAAGATACACAGAATACCCCGTTCAGAAGACATCAGAGGTCCCCAAGGGTGCCTCGGATGAACTAGTCCAGGCTACTTGGTAAAACGCAGTTAGGTGGGGGAGACCAAGCAGCCTCTAAGGCAGCCAAATGAGCCGTCCCAACGCTGGAAGGTGCTAGAGACTATCTATGGCACAAGCAGCAAGAGCGAGCACAGTCCTACTACTCAGACACCGCCTCCACTCCCACCATGCCGAATGATTTCTCCAACCACAGCCTCTCTAAGCATACCAGCTCGGCCAGGACCAGCACGAGTCATGCTCATTGTACTCCAACTCCAGCTCCTTAAACTCAACCCCTTTAGTTTCAAATGCCCCATAGCTATGGTGCAATTCTGCCGCCCACTCCCCCTATATATGGGTAATACGGGCAATATGGCCAGCCGTACGACCAGGAAGCTTACGTACCTTGTTGGACCGGCCGCCCAACCTCAGCCTATTGATTGGCAAATGCGCTTGTTAAACCTTGGTGACAAGGCGCCTCCGTTTTCTCAAGAAATTATCAACTCTCTTCATCCAGCTAAAGTGAAGAGTGTCCTTGTGGGTGCCTGTGATGGTACGGGCAATCTAGAAGAGCATGTTACCTCGTAAAGAAATTTGATGTACTTGCAAAGTGTGGATGACCCCACCTGGTGTAAATGCTTCCCGGGCACTCTCAAGGGTGTGGCTCAAGACTGGTTCAACAGTTTGCCGGCCGGATGCATAAATTGATTTACAACTCTCAGCTTGTTGTTTGTTGGAAACTTCTCCTATAATATTCCACCCCAGAAGACTAGTCTTAACTTGGCGACCATCATCCAAGGAAAGAAAGAGGGGTTGCACTCGTATGTTATGAGGTTCAACCTCGCAGATTCAGAAACTGTCGGATGAAATGGCCTACTCAGAGTTTCTTTGGGGTCTAATGCATAATGGTTTCAAGTTTGATTTATTCAGAAAAGATATTCGGACATACGCAGGTGTTCTGCGGGAGGCCGAATCATATATTGAGGCAGTTGACTTATGTTCGCTGGCAAAGTCAGAAGAGCCGGCCAAGGACGCCGAGAAGAAACCACGTTCTTATCAAGACTCGGCCAGCAAAAAGAAAGAAGGAAACAACAAAAGAAAAGAAGTCTGAGTGGTTGATTTCCAACAGACCAAGTCGAAGAAAGCCAAGACGTACGAGCCATAGTACGAGTACAACAAGGATTGTTACTCAATTTTGATGGAAATCAAAGACAAGTTTGAGTTTGAGAAGGCACAACCTTTGAGAGGGCCGACCTAGTATAAAAACAAGAACAAATATTGCCATTACCACAAGGATGTGGGGCATGATAAGAACGACTTCAACAATTGGAAAAGGTTGCTAGATAAACTGGCCGAGAGGGCATGCTCAATTCGTACGTTTTGAAGTCCAAGTTTACCTACTTTCGAATAGACAACAAGTTTGAGAAGAAGAAGGAGAAAGGAAAAGATGATAATGGAAACAGCACGGACTCAAGGTTTGTGACCGTCATATCAAGCGGCTTTGCTACAAGAGGCCCAACCAAGAAGGGAATCAAACAAGACGCTTGGAATTTGGGGAATGTAATGCACGCGGAAGGGGTCAAGGCTGAGCCTTTTCTAGAGGTGACGATTTGCGAGGCAGACCGAGCAAAATTAAAGCCCCCCCCCCCCAAATGACCCCCATGGTGTTCATTCTCAAATTCGACAATTTGAAGGTTGGACAAGTGTTGATAGACATTGGCAGCTCGTCCGATATAATCAGTTTAGCTTGTCTGAAGAATATGAAGTTTCCAGAAGATGCCCTAGAGGATACCTCCCACCTGTTGGTTGGGTTCGGTGGGAGCATTATCCACCCGATCGGACGAATAGACTTGCCCATCCGATTTGGGAAGAAGGGAGAAGGAAGGGACATGGTCGTTGGCTTCCTAGTTGTTACAGAGCTCACTAGCTATAATGTCATCATCGGCCGCCCTACTTTGTACTCAGAAAAGGATGTAATCATCCCTCACTTAATGCTGATGAAGTTTGAGCAGTCGGATAGAAAGATAGGTTATATTCAGGGAAACCAAAAGATGGTTATAGACATCTGATCGTGTCTTCCCAAAAACCAAACTCAGTGATGAGTACCTTTCACGTTTTGATTAACGAGTTTAGTGAAAAGTTGAAAAGTCTCGTGAATTCCCTTTAGCCTTGAACTTTACTAAAATGTTTTAAATCAAAATCATTTATTTCGTCTTTTAAACCCAAAATCATTTATTTCGTGTCTTTGAAAATCATTCATTGCGTGCCCTTTTTATAAAAACGTCCAAAACAGTCTATTTTGGTCCATAATTATGGTCCAATTATTATTTAGTTGGATGGGGTTTGAAAGGATCTTAGCCTAAATCCGACTTTTAACGAATATGTTATGGCCAAAATACTAAATTAAGCCCAAACGGGACCTAGGTCCATCTTACCTACGACCTAATGATCATGTGGAGGGTCCAATAACTTAATCCCAATCCTAAGACAAATTAGGATTCATTAGGAACTTCTATAAGTCTCTAGAAGGTTCTAATCTATCTTTTTCGAAATATAAAGATCAAGAGTTTGAAATTGAATAAAACTCTTCTTTTTGAAAATCCTTGTTCTATTCGAATTCAAAGACATTCAGATATGATTTTCGTGCCTAATAATTTTTATCCAAATCTAAGAATATTGGATAGACCCTTGAAATTTAATTTCCAATGATATATCATAATCCCAATTCCGAGCTATAACGAAAAAGATATGATTAAAATACCAAACTCTATCCAAAAGTGACATTGTTCCACTATTTAAATCATATCTTTTATTCTACAAAATATATCAATCTGATTTTAATTATTTTAAAAGTGTACTTCAAGAGATCTCCAAAGATATATTATTAATCTTATTCCAATTATGGATCAAAAGTTATGATAAAAACAAAAACCGCAAACACTATTGTCTATCGCGGCGCGATAGACTCTGTCGCGCGCGACAAAAAGAGTTTTATTCCAATTTGAATTCTTACTCTTTTTTATCCTTAGACCCTCGTTTTTATTATAAATAGAGGTCGTTTAAACTCCGTTTTCAATCATCAACAAGCTTGATCACCAACAATCATAATCTAATCCCTTCTCTAAAACTTTCTCTCTCTCATGATTCTTTTCTTAGCCTAGCCTAAACTTGTCCTTATATATCCTTGATACTTTTCCCAATCACACACCATACCTCCATAACGAGCTTCAAATACCCCGAGCTAACCTCGAAGTTGCCTTCGACCTCGACGTGAAAGGTTGATAGTTCTGAGGGTTTGGTCCCAAATCTATATTTCCATTCTTATTTGGTTTATTTGATTTAATCTTTCATGAAGTTACTAACGTGTGTATTCTTTTGATAGAAATAAATACGAGGCATCAAAGTGAGTAATTTGATCTCCCTAATATTTATTCCTTTGATATAGAAATCATGCTTAGAATATTATTTTAATTTCCTAGTATCATGTTAGGATGTTTCTTTTGATTCCTAGTATCATGTTTAGGGTGTTGATTAATATTTCTAATATCATGTTAATTCCTAGTATCATGTTTAGGTGAATGATTTGTTTTTTATTTTTATTAGTGACATGCTAGTATTTGTTATTAATCCATTTAGTATCATGCTTGGGATCTTACTAATCATATTTTGATGATTTTTATTATGATGATGATTGTTGTGTCAATCAATTATGCATTGCTTGATTATTCATAATTTATTGTTATTGCTTGATCACGCCCCATTTTAGAGGTTTAAAGGGAATTTGTACTTGAAATCATGCCTAATAAGATAATTGATAATTTGATTTAGGCTAACATGATTTTAATTCAAGTGATCGGCAATAATAGATTTATTTGTGCATTATTAAT